CGGTGGAGTTGCCGATCAACGATGATGAAGAGCGGGTGTCTGACGAGGAAGGGTGATACGCCCTGATTTCTGGTGCAGTGTTGATGGCAGCAGTGGCGTTGGGCCGTGATGCAGGCAGATTCAGAAGCGAGTCAACGTGACATGAGGAGAGGGTCAATGCCAAGACTTTGCAGTGCAATGCATTCAAAGGGGTGGGGACGATGTTCGGGTGCCAGTATGGCTTGGCAAGGTGGGCTCGGCTGGGGTGTCGTGATGCATCACCAGGGCTGGAGGTTGACGGCGATCTGCTTGACAGCAAGATGCAAGCAAACTCGGAAGCCGTCGCCGCTCAGACTCCATTGTCACGCTAATGTGTTTCTTCTCAACGACAGAGCCATTATCATCTAGCCTCACTGCAGCTTCCGCGGTGCCCCTGCGGGGAGAGCTTCGCTCATTCTCATTCTCTAAAGTCTGCAAAGTCGCGGTGTAAAATAATAGTAATAGCCAAAAGCTTTGATCTGCCAGCTCTTCAGAAGACACCGGTGCACTCAGGCGCGCTGGCGACGCCCCTCTGGCAAACACCACCAGTGCTCTGCTGCGCTCAGCAGCGGCAACGGCGCATCAGCTGCAGGCGCGCTTCAGCCATGCCAACGGGACGGCCTGTGGTCACCACAGCAGGACCGGGTATCGCAGATACTGCAAACACTTGCGCAACTTAGCCGGGAGCCCTCTGGCCCGCTGCAGCAGCTGCTGTGGGGGCAGCTGACGGGCAACTGTGGCCGCAGCAGCAGCAGCAGTACATTCAACTGCAGCAGCAGCAGCAGCAGCAGCAGCAGCAGGCCTTGCGCACTGATGTGATGCCATCGGCTGGCCCCAGGCCCCGCGTTGAGGCAACGAGGCAGAGCACCAATGGGCAACAGCGGCCGGTCTGTGCATCCCAGCGTTTCAGGTTGCGGGTGTCCTCCTGATGGGTGCATGCATGGGTGCGAGACGGTCCCTCGTGCTGATCGGTGCATGCGTGCTGCGGGGCGCGCCCGCACCAAATGGCCTGTTTTCAACGCATTTGCGCTCGCGCACGGCCCCCCTCCCCCTATGCCAGGCAGCGGCAAAAGGTGCTGATCAGCGAACTTGAAGCACAGGTGAGGGCAGCTAGAACGGCATCCCCAGGTGAACGCCAGAGCACAACCAGAATCACCCCCAACGGCTCGCTGTGTTGCCTCTCACTGGCATCACACCACCGACAGCCGCTGACATTATTAAGTCATCCTCGCATGGCACCCACCGCCGCCGCGGCCCCCGCAGGTCCAGGAGCGGCTGCAGCAGCTCGACCTACTGCAGCGGCAGAATCAGCAGCTGAAGCAGCGAGATGCGCTCCTGAAAAATGCCGTCGGCTCACGAGAAGACCAGGTCCGTTTCTGCGGGGGCATGGGGCTGGCGTGCATTCATGCCGGTGCGGCGCCGTCAAGATGCTGCCATGGTTTGAATTTCAAATCTGCGGGTTTGTCGAGCGCCTGACAGCACGGGTCTGATAAGCGGCGGGTTTCCACGACTTCAAACACGCAGTTACGCAGCCTCAAGGCGCACAGCAGCAACGTGCTGGCACAAAGTGCAGCCACAGTGGAGCAGGGGTTTGCCGCTGCGAGCACAGGCGATGCGGCGGCGGGCGGTGACGGCAGCGACGGCGTGAGCGCCGGCACCGCGCCCGCCGCGGGGCCGGGCGACGCCGCGCCATGCGCCAGTGCAGCCAGCGAGGCGGCTGCAACCGGCCAGGCGCTCGGCGGCGTCGGCAGCACAGCCGCTGCGCCGTCCTTTTCTGCGCCGTCTGAGGCCATCAGCGGCGGCAGCTCACAACAGGCCGACAGCCGCCCTTGGTGGCAGCGCGACGGGCCTGTGACAGCAGGTGAGATCAGGGCAACCACGAAGGAAGACATCATGCAGATCCAGCGGGAGTTTGCGGCCTCTGCAGCGCTCGAGTTGTTCGCTCTTCGGCGGGAGGGAGGACGCCAGTGCAACAGCGGTGGCGGAGATCAGGGGCGCGGCAGCGGGCAGGCACCCGGAGGCTTTGCCTTGGAGGCGGCAGGGGGCGACACTGTGGCGGCCGGGTCACCTGCGGTAGGTGACCGGCCCCAGAGCGGCGGTGACCAGCGGGTGTTCACCGGAAGCTTCTTCTATTACGGGTCACCAGACCTGCCGGAGGGCGTCACCCCAGGCACTGTGGAGGCGCGTATATACAACCTGGTGGGCGGAGAGGTTGCATGTTGCAGGCAGCTGCGCCGGCTCGTTCGGCACGCTCGGCGCTCTCAGACTGAGGGCGGGGTTGGGGCAGCACAGCACAAGCAGCAACACGGTCTTGTGTTGTCAGGCGTCCCGTGGTACACACGCTGCTCCTCTGACATTGGCAGCAACCCGGTCCGTGCAGGTCGCGCCGTGGCTTTGGCCCTGCGTCCACTCGCTTGGCGTTGAACACCCACCAACCCGCCACGGCAGGTCAACCGCTACAGTGGCGCCTTCAAGATCATGCACCTGCTGGAAGCCCCCGCCTTCCTACCGCTCTTTGTGCGTGGGACGCCTACATAGGGCTTTTTCCAGATCAGGCATCCCCCAATTTGCGCTCCACCGCAAGGCCTTCCAGGCCGACACTCCCCGCCGCTGACTGCGCGGCCCCCTCGCTTGCTTCGCTCGGATCCTTTAGGGCACAGACCTGGTGACAGGTCAGCGGCCCCCTGCGCCCGTCCCAAACAGCTTCTGGCGCGGCGTGGTGAGGCAGCTGGAGCTGACTCAGCAGCAGCGCGAGGACGTGCTAGGCATGCGGGGCCTGCACGCCAAGTACACGGACAGGTGATCATCGTTCAGCCGCCTTGCACCAGGGAAGAGGGGATCTGGGGGCTTGCCTCAAATACTGCGGCCTTTCTCTGGCACGCATGGCGCCAGACCCGCCGCGCTGCTGTGCTGGACCCGTTGCGCTGCTTGCCTGCTCCTGCCTAACATGCCAGCCTTTCTGCATGCCGGGGCTGCGCCATCATTTGTCGCAGTATAATGGCCGAGAGGTTGCAACTGCAGGCGCGGCTGGCCGGCGTCGGCATCGGTTCAAGTGATGCTGGGTGCGTTGCCACGTGAGCAGGCGAGGATAGTGGCTGCATCGGTCACAAGCTGCTGAACCCCTGGGGCGCGTTCTCTACGTGGGGCTGCTCTTACATGCCTGTTCCCTTACCCGTTGGTTTGCTTAACACAAATCCTACACTCCCCAAACAGCGGCTCCTTTGCTCACAAGTGGTGTCTGCGCCCTGCCTGCCCCTTCGCCTTCCAGGGCCGATCCGCTTGAGGTGGGCAGCGCGGCCGCCATCGCCGCCATGGAGGTGGCCGAGGCACTGGCGGCCAACATGAAGAAAGAGAAGAACATCACGTGAGCCCTGATTCAGCCCCCACATGGGGCCCGTGCAGGGGCCATCCTTCCAGACTGAGGCGGCTCGAGGCGCGGCGCGACTGCCCGCACATGCCATGCGGTTTCCAGAACCTGCCCGTCGGCGCCACACTAATCTCCCGCCCCCACCCTCCAGACCCGCTTTTTGTCACCCCACGTTTCCCTTCATCAAACCTCACGTTGCTCCCTCCCTCCCTCCCTCCCTGGCTCACCCCCCTTCCCTGTGTTTGCTTATCCCTACGCTGTGCTGGCGGCTGCCGTGGGGCTCCACCTGCCTGGTCAGGGGTCTCATGTACCATTTCGTGTACCAGCATGTTCTGACACCCGTCCAGCTGGCAAAGCTCACGGTCCACTCCAACCCCCTGATCCCTGACGTGAGTAGCTTTCTTGAACCTTTTGACAGTGCTGCCTGGCACCGCGTCGTGCTTGCAGTGGAGACACTTCTCAACAATGGTATCGACACTGCTCGCTACTGTGTTGTTGGCTGGCAATCCTGATCAAGCGCGTGCTAGCAACGTGTCATGCCGTACAGTGACGCACGCCCAACGGCGGCTCACATCGCACACGCTTGGGTTCAGCTGCATGCGCCACTATTTGGCATGCGTCGGCGTGGCGCGCGACAAACGCCTGGCTCCAACCCCCCTTCTAGGCCTTCCCTGCCCTGTCTCATCACCCCCTGCATTACGTCCTCAATCATCCTGCAGGCTTTTGCGATCATGACGGTGATCCACGAAGATTCTGTGTCCAAGCAAGTCTGACAAGCCGTTGATGTGACCCTATTCGCCGCTCGTGGTCGCCTATTACCTGGTTGCCCACTCTTCAATTGCAGTGATTTGATGCTGGCAGCTAAATGCCTGACGCATGCAATCAATCAGCTAGTAACCGGATCGTGCTTGCACACATTATACAAAACCTCCTTTGGAACCAATCTGCGTGCCATACGCGCTACTTGGTGGGTGATCCAGCACTCCTGGCCAGCAAGCTGAAGGGACCACACTCCCATCGCAAAGGTGCTGGGCAGGGGCGCCCAGCAACCGCGGCTTCTGAAGCACGAAGCGCCAAAGCAAATCGGAGGGTGATGCGTCACGCATGCGTGAACTGCAGCGCCCCAGGTGTGCCGAGATGATGCCTCAACATGACAGCGTTGCCACCAAGGCAGGGATTGGGTGCAGCTCGAAAGACATCATGTTGACTATGACGTTGACCAGCGCGGACTTTGCAGACCGTGTGCGGCCCATCCAGCCCGTATGATACGTATTGGTCAGCACGTGTGAAGAGGCGGCGCCGGCTGTGCCAGTAGGTGAGGAGGGCATGGGGGGGCGCAGCTCGCACGCCTCTTGCTCTACCGACTCGTGTGTCCGAACCACTCACGCCTACACAGATCTGCAGGGTGCAAGGTGACACTGAATGCGTTGATCAATAGAATTTCTCGATTACGCGAAAATCTTGTTGCCAAGCTGAAGCGATCGGGGGCAAAAAATCGCGGAACTGCCTTCGTCATCTGCAGCTTCTCATCGGTGCCTCGTGCTTGCAGAGGCGGTGTGGATGAGACGAAACGCTGCCAATCAATTCAGTGATTTTCTCATCGTCGTGCAATGATTTACTAGCCAGCTGTGCGTTCACACCTGGCGTCACCCGCAGCCTTCGCAGCTGCTGTTCTCGCGTTCGCGTGCGTGCGCGGGCGACTGAGCATCGCCGTCGATATGCAGGCCGGGCGGCCTGTGGTCACCACAGACGGGCCAGTGCCGATAGTCAGGCTATTTAGCTCGGGGCAGCCACAAGAGGAGGCGGCCGGGCACGCAGCCGAGTGCGCCCCGCCCATCGAGGCGCCCCTGCCGGCGGCGGCAACCACCCAGGCGCCGCAGGCTGCGAGCCAGAGGGGGCCACCAAAGCGAGAGCAGCTGAACATGTGGCATCAAGCACCAGTGGCATGGTGCGCAGATCTGGCCTCAGCAGGGCCATCCAGCTCAGGGCCACGCAGCTTCAGTGGCGGAGAGCCCAAATCGAGTCCCCAAGGGCTCGACCGGCAGCTTGGCGCCTCTCAGCGCTTCAGGTTGGTGGCAGAGCACGACGTATATGCAATTTCTTCCTCACGCAAGCGCCTCACATTGTGCGGCGCCGCAGCGAGACGCCACACGCACCAACATGCCAGCGCGCTGGGAAGTCCGTCACTTTTGCACCTCCAACCTCCACTTCATTTTATTCTGTGCAGGCTGCGGCAGAGGAGCTTGATTATGGAGCTTGAGCGGCAGGTGGGTGCAAAGGTGTGACAGAATTCACATGGGCTGCCGAGCGGTCGACAAACAGACGCCGCACACTGGGGATCACCTGCCACTGGTTCCTCCCGTGAGGTACGGCCCACCCCTCCTCCCCAGGTCCAGGAGCGGCTGCAGCAGCTGGAGCTCCTGCAGAGCCAGAACCAGGCGCTGCGACAGAGGGACTCGCTGCTCAAGAACGCAGTCATCTCACGCAACGACCAGGTAGGCAACGCCCAAGCTCGGGTGCAGGCAGCTGGGGGCTCCAGGCCGCAGCTGCCCAGTGAGTCATGGGTCCAGCCACCGTCTGGCAGACCGCAAGCACTCCTGTTGCCACGGGGGTCACAAGGCGCATCGAATTGCACCATTACAATAGACCATGCTCCGATTGCGCCCAATGCTTATATATCACACGTGATCCCATCCACCTGCCCAGATTCGCAGCCTCCAGGCGCACAGCAGCGGCTCGCTGCCACCTGCGGCGCAAACAGCTGAGCACGAGCCCACCCCTCCAAGCCGGCTGCAAACGACATCAGGCAGCGTTTGCAATGACGTCAACTGCAGCGGGCTCAAGTTCGAAGATGACGCCATGGACGTGAGTAATCAGGCGGCTTGTGGTCACGGCAGAAAGACAGACAATGGGCTCACGCGGCAAGTCAGTAAGGGCAGCAGCAGCAGCGGGTTTGTGCACCCTGAGCGCACTGGGAGCACCGGAGTGCCCCAGCAGGCCACGACTGCGCCGTGGTGGCTGCGAGACGTACCTGTCACCGCTGACGAGATCAGGTCCACAACAAAAGAAGAGATCATGCAGATTCAACAAATGTTTGTGAGGTCTGCATCTCTTGAGCTCAGCGCTCTGCAGCAGCAGAAACAGGAGCTCTGGGGTGACTCCCACGCCCAGCAAAGCGGCGATGGCAGCAGCGACACGCCTGGCAGCAGCGGGCTCATGCGGGGAGGGGAGGCTGCCGACCACAAGCCTGGCAGCTGCGATGGGTCAGGTGCCGCGGTGGGTGATCGCCCCCAGAGCAGCGGTGACCAGCGGGTGTTCACTGGCAACTTCTTCTACTACGGGTCACCAGACCTGCCGGAGGGTGTCACCCCAGGCTCTGTGGAGGCCCGAATATATAATCTGGTGAGGACCGGGATAGGAGCTGACACGATATATGTTCCATGAGCATGATGTCCCAGCGTGGTGTCCAATCACGTACATACACGCTGTTGTGCAGTGCGCGTGTGTGCACGTGATATTCTGCACTCACCAACATCACCCAAGATTTTCATTGGTTCTGGGCCGCAGCCTGTGATTGCACACTCTGCTGCGCCCTCACTCACTCTTTTCTTCACAACATTTCTGCTGCAGGTGAACCGCTTTGCGGGAGCCTTCAAGCACCTGAACCTGCTGCAGAATCCGGCACTGCCACCATTGTGGGTGAGTGCCTCTCTTTTTTCTCCAGCACATGCTGGGGGTGTTGTGGGCTGGATGACCAAGGTACCTGACAGCATCGATTCGACCGAGATGCATACGCACGTCGAATATTGCAAATGCCAATGGCGGGAACTCAGGATTTTGTTCCTTGCAACGAAGGCAGCTGTGGGTCATGGGGCTCAATGCAGCAGCTGGCCCCCCACTTTGAACTCTCCTCAGGGCACAAACATGGACACAGGGATGCGCTTCGACACCCCTGTGCCAGACAGCTTCTGGCGCAACGTCGTCGCGAAAGTTGGGCTGGCGCCGCAGCAGCTGCAGGAAGTGGTGGGCCTGCACGGCCTTCACTCTGAGTACATGGGCAGGTGAGTTGGGAGACACTCACAGCAGGCCGCGCGCTGTGTGCAAAAAGGGGGAACCCAGGGGCCGGCCCTGCTGGAGTTTTCAGGGGGAGGACTTGGGTGACATTTGTAAGCACGCGTGCGACCAAGCCCGGCCACCCTTTCAAACGGTGCATAATGCGCCTGCAGCTACACCCTTGCGCTGCCACCATAACGCTTGTCATGCAGGATCATGTCAGAGAGGGCGGTGCTGCAGGCGCGGCTGGGGGATGCGGGCTCCAGAGCCGGTCAATGGAGCCTTGGCAGGTGAGCCGAGGCTTGCAGGCACGACAACACGCCTGCAAGCCTCCTCTTTTTACGTAGAAGCTTTGCTGTACACATCCAAGTCAACCTTTGTTGGGAGGTTCCATGTATCCATTTTGGGGTTGATGGCCTTTGCCAGGGTGACTCCCACCACCCTGGAGGCGGACCGGGCGACGACAGAGGCCATGGAGGCTGCGGAGGCGCTTGAAGCCAACATGAGGAAGGAGAGAAGCATCACGTGCGCTGCAGCTGCATGCAGGCCGCGAGCTGATGAGGGGGGGGGGATCATGCTATTCGCATTGGGCGCAGGTCTATGCAGTGCACTTTGGATTTGGAAGCCGTCAGTCCTGGTGCTGGCATAATTGGCGCTCGCAGCCTGGTATGGCTCGCAGGACCTATGCCGCTTCCTCATTGCCGGTCTCGCACACATACACAAAACCGCCGCCGCCGTCACAAACAGCAGAGGGCTGCTGTATGCGTTCATCTTCCACCATGTGCTGACGCCAGTGCAGCTCGCAAAGTTTGTAGTGCACGCCCACCCCCTCATCCCAGACGTGCGTGGCTGTTCGTTTGTCTGCCAGCGCCCCTCAATGCGCGTCGCCTTGTGCCGAGCATGCACTTGCCCGCCTGCAATCACCTGCCTTGCTTGATGCTGTGCTTTCAACCGTCAGGGGCTTTGCCCAAGCTGATACATGGACATATATGCATGACACGCATGCCACCAAGGTGCCCGTTTTGTTGCACACACCTTACATCCCCCTGTGTCACTGCCTTCTCCTGGTGATCCGATGTGCACATGCGCGCTCAGGCTTTTGCGGTGATGACTGTGATCTACGAGGATTCGGTGGGCAGTGCGTGAGCCAACGAGCTTGCTGGCGTTGTCCTGTTGCGCAATGCATCGCTGCTGGCTGTGTTGAAAGCGGGCTCCTCCCCCCGCGGTCTGTCAGGCTTGAATAAGCGGGCGGTTTTGTTTGTTTGGGACACAAGGCTGCGGGGTGCTCGTGGGGGTGCTTCAGATGTGGTCGTGGGCGCAGCCGCTCGCACATGTGCAGTTTATTGGTGTTTGTCATTCAACGTTGCTGAGGTCCACCCCTGTGTGCCATGCCCAGCACAAAGAAATAACCCAGGCGAGCTAGAGATCCTAATTTCTGTGACCCTTTCGCTTTGAAACTTTCACCAGCTTGTCCTCCTTTTTTTACACAGCGCCTGATACATTGGGCAGCTGAGCGTTTTGTTTTGCCATCTGTATACTCTTGTGGTTGCTTATCACACAATCCTGCAATATCAAACCGTAGCTGTGCATCAACATCTGCATTTGAAGAACACTGATTGTGAGAGGGACATTTAGAACACATACATTCTTCCCGCATGGTATCTGTAAATAGACCGTGATTTTGGTGTCAGCAAGCGGCAGTGCGTGTTCTCCACCAGCGATACACCGCCTGCATTCGTAGGTCACGTTCAGCAGCGCAATGCAATGCAGTGCATGCGACAGGAGATAACGCGCTATCTTATGTGCCCCAACTGATATCACAGCGAGGTCAGAAGGCTGGCAGTGAGCCTCAAGACTGTGATGGAGTGCCACTGCCTGCAAGAGCGTACTGCAACTGCTACCCTCACCGCTCCAGCCGCTCGGGCCGCCCTCAACGCCTAAGCTGCGGGCCCCTGCTGACCCAGTATCATCATGCCTAGTAAAGAATTTCCGTACACCTGGAAGCATGACACGTGGTTGCCAAACTCCATTGATCCGCACTCGCAAGAGGTAGATGAGTAGAGCTGGGTGACAAATTGTTTGATCTCCAACATTCGGCACAGTTGCACAACGAGAGCTGCATCATAAAAGAAGCATTTTGTCAGAATTTGCACACCTCTCGCTTCAGATCTGCAGTACTGCGCTCCGCTTCACGCTCTCCCTTGCAGCTTTTTTCTTGCGCCAAGTCTCCGTCTGACAGTCCCCATTGCAGCTCTTAATCACCAACTCGAAGTCCCGTTACACCTACTGCTTGCGCTCATCACTGACGCGGCTCGCCGCTCACCAGCCGGCGTGTCACACATCGGCGACCGCGGGCAGCGGCCGCATGCATCCTGCACAGCCACTCCTGCCGCCGGCCTGCCCAACAGACGCAGCCGCAAGCAGGGATGGTCCAGACCCCAGCAAGAACGCCAGCCTTGGGGCCTCTAAACAGGGCAAGGCACCGTGCCCTTCCCAAGTCTTCAGGTGGGGGGTGACTGAGGGAGCGGCGTGCTGTGCGCTGCTCGTCATCAATGGGGCCACCATAAGACCAGGCGCATGCAAAATCACCAGCTATTGCGACCCCTGCCACTGGGCTTGCAAGTGCATCTTGCCATCCATCATACGCCGCACTGCCCACTTGCTGCACCGCTCACCTGCATGCGCTCGGGCTCCATGCAACCCGCAGGCAGCGGCAGAAGGGCCAAATAACCGAGCTCGAGCAACACGTGGGTGGCAAAGGGCGTCTACTCTAGTCGTCACACACAATGGCCCCTCATGAGAGCATTCAGCATGGTCTGCAGCTTGTCGTGTTGACTGCAGCCCCCCCGGTGGCCAGGGTCGCGCCGCGCTGGGGAGCAAGGCCGAGGGCACAAGGCAACAGCTCGCACTAACGCCGCGGCCCCGCAGGTCCAGGAGCGGCTGCAGCAGCTCGACCTGCTGCAGCGTCAGAACCAGCAGCTGAGGCAAAAGAACACACTCTTGAAGAACGCAGTGGACTCCCGAGAAGACCAGGTGGGGCGGAGGAGGGGGTCGACCACGGCACTCCTGCAGAGTCTCTTTGGGTGAGGCATTATGGCGTGTTCGTGATACGTGAAGCTCACTCGAGTTGCCCATTTATTTTTCTGGGTAATCACAAGCCTCTGATGACGCCCAACGCACCATGCAGATACGCATCCTGCGGGACCTCGGGAGTGCAGACGAGCTGGCGGCAGCCTACGCCCGCGCGCCGGAGCTGGCGCCCCGACGCCAGCCGGACAAGGCCGCGTCGGGCAGCGCGGCCGCGGCGATTCCCGCACGCACCGGCAGCGGCGGTAGCAGCAGCTCTCAGCTGCTGGCGGAGCGCCGCCACTGGTGGCAGCAGGACGGGCCGGTTGCCGCGGAAGAGATCAAGGCGACAACTACGGAGGACATCTTGCATATCCATCGGGAATTCATGCAGCTCGCACCCATTGAGCTGTTTGCCTTGCAGCGGGAGGAGGAGGGGTGGGGCTACGTGGAGCCACGCGGCGAGGACAGCGGCGGCGGCAGCGGCGGCAGCGGCGGCAGCGGCAGCAGCGAGGGCGCGGCGGCAGGAAGCCCCGTCAGCGGCCTGAGCCTGGCGGCAGGGCTAGGGGATGACTCGCCTTGGGCCGGCGGGGGTTGCATAGAGAGCGTCCTGTATTACGGGACGCGCGAGCTGCCCGCAGGGTATGCTCCTGGGAGCCCGCACGCGAGGCTGTTCGATCTGGTGAGGCGAAACAGAGCGCATGCTGCTTGGGGCGGTCTGCATCAAGTCTTTCGCGCGGCCGACCGCGAGCGGCACCATGCAAAACACACCAGCGCTGTCGCGCATGTGCACTACACAACACGGCGCCACCACGGGTTGCCAACGGCGTCCTCGCTAGAGCCTTTCAGGACCTACCCTCTGCCCGCCCTGTCCCGCGAAACACATGCAGATGAACCGGTTTGGCGGCGCCTTCAAGTTTATGCAGATTCTCGGCACACCCGCCCTCTTCGCCTTGTATGTGCGTGACCCCTCTGTGGTGCCACGTCTGCACTGCCTTCCAACTGGCCGCCCGGTGCCGGTCGTGCCCTCCATGCTCCAATCGGCTGGGCTGTCTTCTCTGGCGTGTGTGTTTACACCTGCCCCTGCGCGCTGCCGAGCCGCGACGAAATCCCTCCTGTGTTCCCGCCGCCGCCGGATCCCTCCCAACGCCGCCCACCCTGGCTGTCTCGCGCGGCGCCCCCCGCAGGGCGCCAACCTGAGCACCGGGGTGAGGTTCGCCACGCCCGTCCCGGACAGCCACTGGCACACCGTCGTGTCCAAGCTGGGCTTGACACCTCAGCAGCGCGCCGACGTGGTGGCCATCCAGAAGCTCCATGCCAAGTTTATGGAGAGGTCCGGCGGGCCGGGGCCGGGGCCGGGGCCGGGGCCGGGGCGGCGCGCCGCTGGAGCGGAGCGGCTGCGCGGCACCGTGGCCGGCGCCCAACAGTATGTCGTGCTCGCGGCTTGCGACGCCTTTTTTCTCATTCCTCCCCGCCACCTTGCGTCCCATGACCGGTTGTGCGTCGCCGGGTGCCTTTGCGCCTTGCAGCGTGCTGGCAGAGCGCGCGGAGCTGCAGCTGCTGCTGGCTGAGCTGGACACTGGGGCCGCCAGCCGGGACGCCAAACCGTGAGCCGCTCGCGATGCACCCCGCGATGACGTCAGTGGCGGGCCTTTGCTGCGGCAGCTGTTGCGGTTCCCATGCGATTCCGAATTTCTAGCCTGCACTCTGGCGCCGGCAACGAACCAGGCCGCGAGCGAGTTTGACCAGCCTATCAACTCTGTGCTGCGGTTTGATGTGTATTGACACTTCTGACTGCTGTTTCATTATCAGGGCGCCGGCCACTGACCTGGAGGCCCACGAGGCGACCACGGTCACCATGGAGGTCGCGGATTCCCTGGCCGCCAACATGATCAAGGAGAAGACGATCAGGCGCGCTGGCAGGGCAACGCGTGGGCGCGCCGGGCGGGTCGCGGCGACAACGGCCATGCACACGGAGTGGGGGGGGAAGGGGGAGAGGG